ATCAAAGGTGCCCAAGACCATTCAATGGGGGAAAAGATAGTCTCTTCAACAAATGGTTTTGGGAAAACTGGATAGCCATATGCAAAAGAATCACATTAGACCCTTATCTAATACCATGTACAAAAATTAACTCAAAGTAGAAAAAGATCTCCTATATCAGACCAAAAACTATAAAACTCTTAAGAGAAAATAAAGGGGAAAGCTTCATGACATTGAATTTGGCATTGTTTTCTTGGATATGACACCAAAGACACAAGCAAAAAAAGGCAAAAATAGACAAATGAAACTTCATCAAAGTTTAAAACTTCTGTGCATCAGAGAACATAGGAGTGAAAAGGCAGTCTATGGAATGGGAGAAAACATTGTAAAACCACATTTCTGATAAAGGCTTAATATCCAGACTATATAAAGAACTCCTATAACTCAAAATTTAAACATTTTACTACAGAACTGACAGAATTAAAGGGAAAATTGAAAAACAAAATGGGTGATCCCTGGGTGGAGCAGCGGTTTAGCGCCTGCCTTTGGCCCAGGGCGCGATCCTGGAGACCCGGGATCGAATCCCACGTCGGGCTCCCGGTGCATGGAGCCTGCTTCTCCCTCTGCCTGTGTCTCTGCCTCTCTCTCTCTGTGTGTGTGTGACTATCATAAACAAATAAAAAGAATTTTTAAAAAAAGAAAGAAAAACAAAATAACCTGGTTTTTAAAAGGACAATTTGAATAGACATTTCTCTAGAGATGATATACAAATGGCCAACGAGCATATGAAAGGATGCTCAGTATCACTAAACACAGAGAAATGCAAATCAAAATTGCAATGAGGTATCTTTTCATCAGGATAGGTATTATTAAAACAAAAAAAAATTTAAGGTTTTATTTATTAATGAGGCACAGAGAGAGAGGCAGAGATATAGGCAGAGGGAGAAGCAGGCTTCCCTGCAGGGAGCCCAGTGCAAGATCTTTGGCCCTGAGCCAAAGACAGATGCTCAATCACTGAGCCACCTTGGTGCCCCTAAAATAAAAAAAAATTTAACAGAAAGTAAGTAGTGGCAAGAATATAAAGAAATTAGAACACTTGCCCCCTGTGGGTAGGATTATAAAATGGTACAATTGCTATGGAAAGCTGTATGGTGGTTCTTCAAAAAATTAAAAATAGAATTACCATATGACCCATCACTCCCACTTCATATATTCCCACATTGGTATATATGTAAAAGAATTGGAAGAGGGTCTTGAGGGACACCTGGGTGGCTCAGTGGTTGAGCATCTGCCTTTGGCTCAGGGCATGTTCCTGGAGACCTGGGATCGAGTCCCACGTCGGGCTCCTTGCATGGAGCCTGCTTATCCTCTCTGCCTGTGTCTCTGCCTTTCTCTCCGTGTCTCTCATGAATAAATAAATAAAATCTTTAAAAAAAAAAAAAAAGAAAGAGGGTCTTGAAGAGATATTTGCACATTCATGTTCATAGCAGCATCATTCACAATAGCCAAGAAGTAGAAGCAACCAAAGTGCCTATCAACAGATGACTAGGTAAACAAAAAAGGATATATGCAGATAAGAAGAAGTACTAATTCTGCTTTTAAACGGGAAGGAAATCCTCCCATCCTATGCTACAACATGGGTGGTAGCATAATGAAGACAAGACACTAAGTGAAAAAAGCCAGTCACAAAAAGACACTATATAATTTGATGTACCCAAGGTGTCTACAGTAATCGTATTACTATAAAAAACAGGGCAGCCCAGGTTGGTCATCAGTTTAGCACTGCTTTTGGCCCAGGTTGTGATCCTGGAGACCCGGGATCAGATCCCACATCTCCCTCCCTGCATGGGACCTGCTTCGCCCTCTGCCTGTGTCTCTGCCTCTCTCTCTCTCTCTCTCTCTCTCTCTCTCTCTCTCTATCTCTATCTCTATCTCTGTCTCTCATGAATAAATAAAAAAATCTTAAAAAAAAAACAAATAGGGGCGGTTCAGTTGGTTGGGCTTTCAACTCTTGACTTTAGCTCAGGTCTTGATCTCTGGGTCATGGGTTCAGGCCCCATATTGGGTCCCACATTAAGCTCTGCACTGGGCATGGAGCCCACTTAAATTTTCAAAAAAAAAATTTTTAAGAAAATAGAATGTGGGTTACTAGGGGTTGGGGGAGAGGGAAATAGGGTATTATTGTTTGATGTGTATAGAGTTTCATATTACAAGATGGAAAAGTTCTGGAGGTCTGTTGCACAACTATGTGAATATACTTGACAGTACTGAACTGTAAACTTAAAGATGGTTAAAATAGTAAACTTTATATGTTTTTGCCATAATTTTTTAAAGATTTAGAAAGAAAATAGGTAATCACAAATGTTGCCACAAAAGCAGAGATACAGGAAGTCTCATACATTGCTGGTGGGAATGTAAATGGCACAGCCACTTTGGAAAACAGTTTGGCAGTTTCTTTAAAAAATTAAACATGAACTTATCATATCACCCAGCTATTCCACTTCCAGGTACCAATCCCCCCAAAATGAGAATATATGTCTAACAGAGGCTTACATGGGAATGTTCATAGCAGCATTATTCATAATAGTCAAAAAGTGGAAACAACCCAAATGTCCATCAACAGTTCAATGGAAAAGCAAAATGTGCTTTATTCATACATGGGAGTACTATTCAGTAATAAAAATAAATGAACCCTTAAAAATAAAATCTTAAAAAAATAAAAAAATAAATGAACCCTTGATACATGCTATGATATGGACAAGCCTCAAAAAATATTAAGCTAAGTAAAAGGAAGCCACATACACAAAATCACATATTGAATAATTCTGCATATATGAACTGTCCAGAAGGGCAAATCAGTAGGGTAGAGGAATGGTTGCCTGGGGCTAGAGGTGGGAATGGGAATTAACTGTAAACAAGTAAGGGAGATCCTATTTCAATCATGAAGATGTTCTCTCTTTTTTTTTTTTAAGATTTACTTACTTATTTTAGAGAGAGAGCAAGAGACCACGCATGAGTAACGGAGGGACAGAAAGAAAGAATCTTTAAGCACACTCTGCACTGAGCATGGAGCCTATCATGGGACTCAGTCTCATGACCAATGAGCTCATGACCTGAACTGAAACCAAAAGTTGGACACTTAATCAACTGAGTTATCCAGGCACCCCTATGAAGATGTTCTAAAACTTGGGCAGCTCAGATGGCTCAGTGGTTTAGCACTGCCTTCAGCCCAGGGCCTGATCCTGAAGACCTGGTATCAAGTCCCCCGTCAGGCTCCCTGCATGAAGCCTGCTTCTCCCTCTGCCTGTGTCTCTGCCTCTCCCTACATGTTGCTATAACATCTTTATCTTACAAAGTGGGGATTTAAGACATACTACCTATAGATGATGGAACGTAGATCAAGATAGTTATTTTAGAAGAGAAGCAGGGAAGTGGCATAAGTGAGTTAAATCCTTATCTAGCACAGCAGAAGCCAATAGGTAATGTCTAAATTTGATAAATCAAAAAACTAGTGATAGCATATTTTTTAGAGATGTTTACAGTAACTTTCAGAAGAAAGAGTTTAAAAGTTCCCTCTAGGGATCCCTGGGTGGTGCAGCGGTTTGGCGCCTGCCTTTGGCCCAGGGCGCGATCCTGGAGACCCGGGATCGAATCCCACGTCGGGCTCCCGGTGCATGGAGCTAGCTTCTCCCTCTGCCTATGTCTCTGCCTCTCTCCCTCTCTCTCTCTGTGACTATCATAAATAAAATATCATAAATAAAAATTAAAAAAAAAAAGTTCCCTCGAGGGTACTGCTGGGGGCAAGCAGTAGTGGAGAATGGTGTTAGTGGAAGACTTCCATCATAAATCTAGTGCAAGTACTTGATTTTTCAGAAATCATTTGCACCAATTAATAAGGATTAGAGAAAAAATATACACATTTGAAAGACAAAGTTATCTTATCCCCACCTCCTCTTTAAAAAGAAAGAAATCATTTGTGCTTACAATGGTCATTCTTTTTCCTACTGACTAAATTGTACCCTAGTCCAGGAGTGTATATTCTCAGAATATATGCCTACGCCCTGGTGTTTGAAAAGTTCCTATAGAGCCCAGAAATGGTTTGGGGCCTTACCCTTTGAATTTTCAAAGCCTGAGCTCCTGGACCTGGGTCCCAGCACTTGTCTCCCAGTAAAAGGAGACCAACAAATGGTATGTGTCTGCCTGGTGTGTCACAGGTACTTACATTGATTTTGGTATAGTCAGTGTTATCACCACATAAATCACAAAGACACTGAGACTCAGAAGGGTGAGTTGAATAAGGTGTGGATATGAGTTTAAAACAATCAAACAGGGACACCTGGGTGGCTCAGCAGTTGAGCGTCTACCTTCAGCTCACAAGATCCAGGATCGGGTCCCAAATCGGGCTCCCTGTGGGAAGCCTGCTTCTCCCTCTGCCTATGTCTCTGCCTCTGTGTGTGTGTGTGTGTCTCATGAATAAATAAATAAATCTATAAAAAATTCAAACAAAAATAAATATATAAGGTCTGTGTGCCATCAAAGCCTACGTTCTTTATCGGTTGGGCTTTCTTATGATCATTTCACCTGTAACAGAAAACCCAGCTTGCTTAAGCAATAACAATATACATCAGCTCATGTTGCTAGAAATTTAACAGTGGTATGGACATCATGGTTGCTGACCCAGCAGCTCAACAGGGTGATTTAGAAAACAGTTTTTGTCTCTCCATTCTGATATCCACAGTTTGGGGTTTATCCTGAGACTGATAGTCAAGTTTAGTGAGAGACTGACTTCTCTCATGGTTATCTATTTCCTAAAATTAGGAAGTCTGCAGCCCTGAGCCTCCAAGATCTGGGACTGCCCTATTTTCCCTCTTTTGTAATGACCTAGACTGCCTGCTCTCTTTCAGGATAGGATTTTAGGTACAGACACATTGTTGACACATGGCCTTCCCTTGCACTTGTATTTCTGAGAACCCAATACTCAGGAAATTGAGAGGAAATGCTTTTCATTTTTTCTTCCATAGGGACAGAATCTGCCTGGGCGAGTCCTTTTTCTGCGTTACGTGGTCCAGACCCTGGAAGATGACTTCCAGCAGATCCTGAGGAGGCAGCGACAGCATCTGCAGCAATCCATTGCAAGCACTGTGCTGTCCTGTGACAAGCAGCCCCACAATGTCAGGTAACCAGCGCCTGAGCCTGGGGGTGACAAGAGGTTGGGGGCGCAGGTGAGCAGCTACTTAAGGCTCAAGAACATTGACTGGATGAGACTTTATGTCACTCAATAGTGTAATAGGGATAGCTATTAAAACTATAGATGATCCTAAAAGGCAGTCTCTCTGTACCAGCTATGTGTTGGGCACTGCAACTTTTGTGGTTTTACTCAAGACCATCAGATGCCCTTTAGTGTATTTCAGAATTGTCCAGACACCCTCAGGAGACCCAGGGGGAAACTTTAACTTATGTGACTTATAAAAACTGCTTTTATAGAATCAGGGTAAGCAAGAGCTTCTGGAAGCTTCAGAGCAGGGAGGTACCATATCCTTATAAATGTGATTTCTAGAGTGGTGATCTCAGGCCAGAATTTTCCGCTTGGGACTACAACCTTTGCTTTTTTTGGAAAAGGTCCTCACCAAACAAAAGTACCGGCATCACTGAAACTCTTCCATTCATATTTATGTTCCCATATATTCTTTCATGTTTGTTAAAAATAGTTTTCTACAGGCCAATATGGGATATTGACTATTATAACTACTTTAGGTAGAAAAAAGGAGGAAGCTTCATATTGTTTTGAGCATTATCCAGCTTCCCTGCTTAGTTTGCATGACCGTTTTCATCTTCCTAGATGCGGCATTTTACGTAAAGTTTAAATGTTAGTGATTATAGGACAGAAAATCAGTAAGTAGGGAATCTACAAAAAGCATGGGATAGCATGATTGGGTTTTAAATAGAAAAATAACCATTTTATTAATGAGAGCAACTCTACCAGCCATTCTGCTTTGTGAGAATTGGATTGAGTGGAGACAGGAGAAACAAACCCACTTGATCTAGTCATATTAGTTGCTTCCATTTCTACTTTACACCATGCAGAGTATGATCTTGGGTTTAAGGTTTAAAGATAAGCATTGTGGCTTCTAAGTCAAGCCAGATCTTCCATTTTGTTTTTTATCAATGAGAAAAATCTGTTCAGATGGAGGAAAAACCTGCTGTCTGATTCACCAAGAGATGGATATTAGATTGAGGCTGTGGTAACACAGATGTATACATATGTTTATCAAAATTCAAGTAAAAACCTGGTGCAATTTCTTATATATAAACTATACCTCGAAGATGAGTTTTTGTTCATTTAAGTATAGCTGACACATAGTGTTATATTAGTTTAGGTGTACAATATAGTGATTTAAGGGGCACCTGGGTGGCTCAGTTGGTTAAGCATAGGCCTTTGGCTTGGGTCATGATCCTGCGGTCCTGGGGTCAAACCCCATGTCAGGCTCTCTGCTCAATGGGGAGCCTGCTTCTCCCTGTTTCTCTCTCTGCCACTCCCCTGCGTATGCTCTCTCTCCTCTCTTTCTGTCAAATAAATAAATAAATAACATCTTTAAAAAAATAAAACAACAGTATAGTGATTTGACAACTCTATATGTCATGCTATGCTCACCCCAAGTATGGCTACCATCTGTCACCACACAACACTTCCATAATATCGTTGACTTCATTCCTTGTGCTGTACCTTTCATCCCTGTGACTTATTCCTTCCATAACTTGTAGCCTATACCCCCCAATCCCCTTCACCTATTTTACTCATCCTCCCACCCCTTGTGCTCTGACAACCACCAATTTGTCTTCTGTATTTATGAGTCTGTTTCTGGTTTTTTGTTCATTTTGTTTTTAGACTCCACAAATAAGTGAAATCATATGAAATATGAAATGAACAATACGAAATCATATTTGTCTTTTTCTGACTTACTTCATCTAGAATAATACCCTCTTGGACTATCCATGTTCTCACAAATGGCAAGATCTCATTCTTTCTCGTGGCTGAGTAATATTCCACCGTATGTATGTATGTATGTGTATATATACATATATGTATCACATCTTTATCCATCCATTTATTGATGGATACTTAGGTTGCTTCCATGTCTTAGCTATTGTCAATAATGCTGCAGTAAACATAGGGGTGCTGTTCTGAACAAAAGACACAACAGCCATGTTTCTGTTTCAAAAAAGAAAGGAAACTTTATTATTATTTTAGAAACCTAATAGAAACAGAAGAGGAAAGGAATTTACACATAGATGAAGGTACTAGTAGGCAATAAATGAGAATAAGGCAGTGTTACATTAAATCAGGTGCTTACAACATCCAACCTCATCAGCTGGGGAAACCCTATGGAAACATCCAGGCTAGTGTCATGAGCTGAGGGCACCTGGGTGGTTAAGCATCTGCCTTTGACTCAGGTTATGATCCCAGAGTTCCGGGATCAAGTCCTGCCTCAGGCTCCCCACAGGGAGTCTCCTTCTTCCACTGCCTATGTCTCTGCCTCTCTCTCTGTATCTTTCATAAATAAATAAATAAGTTTTTTAAAGTCATCAACTACTTTGATTACTGATTATTTATATATGCCCTAATTTTTCCTTCTGAAAGTTTTTAGAATCCTCTTATTGCCCAGTATGCTTGTTGTAGGTCTGCATTCATCCACTATACTGGGCATTCAGTCTAGAAACATCCTTCATTCCTAGAAAATAGAGTTTTTATGTCTGTTATCATGTTTTTTAATTTCCAAGGACTTTTTAACTTTGTCTCTTATGTCCCCTTTTAAAATTAATAAAAAGTATTCTATTCTTGTTTTCTTCTTTCATGGACCCATACATTCTCATTTCTCATATCATTGATGATATTATGGCTTTTGTTTTTTTTTTTATTCTCTGTATAGTCTTATTTTCTCCTAAATTGCTTTTTTAGGGGGAGAGGGGAGCTGGTCTTGGCTACTTTGACCTTTATTTATCTCTCATAATAGAATATTTCCATAAATGTCTGGTAAACCTTGGTAGTCTATCCAAGTTTAAGGGTGAAGACTCAACAGCTGATGGGAGTTCCGAGTACATGGGAGGAATTGTCATTTCTGCACTTCCCTGTAGGTGGAACTGACTATTTATTTATTTATTTGTTTGTTTGTTTATTTATTTATTATTCATGAGAGACACACAGAGAGAGAGGCAGAGACACAGGCAGAGGGAGAAGCAGGGAGCTCCATGCAGGGAACCCAACGTGGGACTCGATCCTGGGTCTGCAGGATCACACCCTGGGCTGAAGGCGGTGCTAAACCGCTGAGCTACCCAGGCTGCCCATCATTTCTTAAAAAATACTTTGTCAATGTCTTCAGGTCTTTCCTGTTAGGCTGGATAGGTTTTCCAGAGAAGACTTCCTATTTTCTACATAAAGGATAAAGACTGGGATGCCAAGATTTTAAAAGACAAGTGTGGGAAAATAGCAAGAGTCTCTGCGTTCAGCATGCTTATGTTTACGTCATGCCCCTGTTGTGCTTTGATGCCCTTGCCTCCCAGCTGTGCCTGATATCCTAGTACAAAGACCCTCTGTTTTATCTCTGCAGGATGTTAACCTGTAGTTTAGGGTCTAAAATTTTCTTAAAGAGCTTACAAACCATTATGCTTATTTTCCCTTATATCCTTTAATTCTCATTTCAGAGAAGACTTACACTGCCATTTGCACAGCTTATTGAAGATTCCTTTTTTTTTTTTTCTTTTTTGGTAAACAGGATTAGGTAGAATTGCTTTTCTCTATTGCTTTTGCTCTACTCTTCCTAAACAAGTTTTCTCAATTCTACTAAGTCAGTTAAAATCCATCCCTTTGGGCAGCCCGGGTGGCTCAGCAATTTAGCACTGCCTTCAGCCCAGGGCCTGATCCTGGAGACCTGGAATCGAGTCCCACATCAGGCTCCCTGCATGGAGCCTGCTTCTCCCTCTGCCTGTGTCTCTGCCTCTCTCTGTGTGTATCTCTCATGGATAAATAAATCTTTAGGAAAAGAATAAATAAAATAAAATCCATCCCTTTGCTAAAGTCAGATTAAGAATCATCCTTAAGGGGCATCTGGGTGGCTAAGTGGTTGAACATCTGCCTTTGGCTCAGATTGTGATCCCGGAGTCCTGGGATCAAGTCCCACATGAGGCTCCCTGAAGGGAGCCTGCTTCTCCCTCTCCCATGTCTCTGCCTCTCTCTGTGTGTTTCTCATAAACAAATAAATAAAATCTTAAATTAAAAAAAAAAAAGAATCATCCTTAAAGGAAAGGAGCACATGGGTAGCTCAGTTAGTTAAGCATCTGACTCTTGATTTTCAACTCAGGTCATGATCTCAGGGTTGTGAGATCAAGCCCCACATTGGGTTCCATGCTGGGCATGGAGCCTGCTTACATTCTTTCTCTCCCTCTCCCTCTGTGCCGACCCTGACTTCTCTTCCTCTCTTAAAAAAGAAATCATCCTTAAAACATGAGGGGCAGCCCTGGTGGCTCAGCGGTTTAAATGCCGCCTTCAGTCCAGGGCGTGATCCTGCAGACCCGGGATCGAGTCCCACGTTGGGCTCCCTGCATGGAGCCTGCTTTTCCCTCTGCCTGTGTCTCTGCCTCTCTCTGTGTGTGTCTCTCATGAATAAATAAATAAAATCTTAAAAAAAAAAACATGAATACACTTGCCTTATTTAGTTAATTGGTAACTTTTGATTTTATGATTAGCATCTCTTAATTGACTCCTCAAATCAAAGGCTGGGACCTTGACAATTACCTGCATCTAACCATGCATCCATCCCCCATCACCTACTTTTGCACCTTCCTGTACCCAAAGTGATCAGCATACTGAATGTGCATCATTTCCTTTCCATTTTTATGTAATTTTATATCTAAAAATGTGTTCCTATACAGTATATGTTTATATTTTAGTTCCTTTCTGCTGTATATTAAAGGATATCATGCCATACATAATCTATTGGGACTTATTTTTCACTTTATATTATAGAGTACTAAGGTTTGTCCATACTGTTACTTATCACTGTAACTTACTCATTTTCACTACTATGTAGTATTCTATTTTGTTAATATACTTCATTTCCCTTCCATCCTCTAAAATTTCACTGTTGTTGTCTCCTTTCCTTTCTTCCCATTCCTTGTGGATTTTTTAAAAGAATTATTTACTGTAGCATCAGTGGGATTTTAGGAGGTAACAAAATTAGAAGTGTGTATTAAATCTACCATTTTTACCTGGGTTACCTAAGTGATCATCAATAGTAATTTTGACTGTTTGAGATGGTTTTACCTTACTAACTTTTAGAGCCTTCACCCTGTATATAGTATGACTCTATTGCACATACTCTAAACCTCAGTTATTTGCATTAGTAGATGATACCTAATCCTAGAAAGCCAGCAAGGACCTGAGTGGTCATCCAGTCTGACTTTCCATCTGCTCCAGGAAATGTTCCTGGTCAGGAGGCCATGGATACTCTTTGACCTCAGAGGTACCTTTCAATAATCTCAGGAAAATGTCAATATTTCAGCTAGCTGTTATAAGCTTACTGCAATTAAATGTAGGGTTTCCATTAGACTTGTTTAAATATTGAAAATCACCTAAGATCCCTCTTCATTGCCTTTGGAGTAATCTAGGGGCTTCAGAGCCCAGGTTTAAGGCTGTGGTTTTGAGCACCATACAATAAGACAGAAGTTTAAACTTTTTTTGTTCTAATCTTTTTTCCATTGCAGGGATGTTATCAAGTGGTTGGTCAAAGTAGTAACTGAAGATGGATTAACTCAACCCCCAAATGGGAATCAAACCTCTTCAGCAACAGGAATCTTGAAGGCCAGCAGTAACCATCCTTCTCCCCAGGCCAACCTGACAAAGAACACCAATCAGCTGTAAGGGGCAGGCACAAATTGTCTTTCCCAGGGCTGTTGGGATTTATTGCAGTAAAGAACAGCAGTATTCCTAAAAGAAGTTTCCACAAAATTAACAGGCTCTTGAAACATAGGCTGATTCTTACTAAAGACTGGCTTAGTTTGTCTAAATTCTGTGCCAAAGTTTAACAAAAGCAGATGCTTTCCCTCTCAGATGAATAGGACTTCACTAAGTGAACTTAAGTTCATAAAGTCGAAGTGAAACAAAAGCTAGGGAATTTTGTTTCCTGGATTCTAAGTGACAGTGCAGGGTTGCAGCTGCTCATCACTTCAGATGACCATTGATGGAAGAGAAGTCATGGATAGTGGGTGTTCCAGCAGCCTGTAGTCCTCAGGGAACTTTATGTCTCTCCTCCAGTCCTGAGAGAAGAATAGCAATTCAACCTGCAGATTCTAGCAGGTTATAACAGCAATGACTCAGACCAGGGCAGGTCCCATTACCTCAGACCACACTGAGAAGAGATTCTTGGTGTTTCTTTTATGGGCTTGAGAGTGGTTTTGGCATTTTTTGAGAGATGCCAAGATTTTAGGATCCAGAGCTGTCCTTATAAGTAACCTACCATTCCATGTCAGTCATACTATTAAAAGCCAGTCACATTTGACATTTCAAATACAACATTTATGCCTAAATTCTTAACACTATCTTATAATGTAGTTGCCCCAATCTAATTTTCATATAAGGCCTATGGGTTTTAACTAATTGAAGAGAGAATCTTGTATTTAAAGGGAGAATGTTTAGAACAATGAAGCACTTGCTTGACTGGGTGGGGGAGGCCCTAAAGTAGGGCTATCTTAGAACCCTAGTATATAGATCCAAGAGAGAAGCAGACACTATTCCTACAGTAAAAGAAAATCTTTATCATAATCTATTTTATTACTATTTTTTATTATAAGTAAATATTGCTAGAAATAAAAATAAGGCCCTTGAAAAGTCAGTTTATCATGATCTTAATGATCGGCACTACGATTTACCATTAATAAGGGTGAATCTGCCAGATATCTTACACAGCACTTATAACTTCATGAAAAAGATGGTATTATTCCCCCGTTTTAGAGATGAGAAGACTTGGGCTCAGAGCAGTTTAGTAACTTCTCAAAAGTTGACCAGCTTGTGATCATAGAGCCTGTAATGTCATTGCAGAATCTGATGCCAAAGCCCCTGGCCCACCTATTGTGTTACTAGCTGAAGATTTTTTGAAAACAGAGCCCTTTCTTCCATCACAAATAAAAATGCATGTTAAAAAAGGCCGACTTCAGGCCAGGCCCACATTTCTGAGGGAAAGCCTAGATTCTTTTTGCCATATCAGCCTGGCTTTCTCCCACATTTAGGTCTTGATGGGAGAGAGGGTCACAGTCCACCAGCTGAAGTTCTGAGACTGAACTTTGTAAAAGATAATTGTAAAGGAATCAGTGACAGGAAAATCATATGGTAAATATGTATTTTCTCCTGTATCAAAGAAGTTCAAGTGACTAATAGTCATCCTGGACCCGTTTCTTCATCTGGAAAATAGAGAAGTTATAGGTTAGATCCTTAAAGCTGTCTAGATCCTTAAGATCAAATGTTTCTATCTTTGAATTTAAAAGGAGCTTGCTTTTACAGCTCAACCACAAGTTCTGAGAGGTTCAGATAGTATGATCTGGCAAAAGGGATTCAGGTAGGTGAAATTGCTAAATAAAAGCATGCTGATAGCTTGAGTAGTTCTTTCTGACCTAGTATGTGCTTTACAAGATCCTTTCATAGACGGGAGGGGACCTCTCAGCTAGCAGGGTGGCTCTTTGCCACATTCTCCCACTCACTTGTATTCTATGTTCTGGACACAGGATTGTGTGTCAGCTGCAAAGGATGCTGTCCATAGCCGTAGAGGTAGACAGGACCCCCACCTGCAGCTCCAATAAAATTGCTGAGATGATGTTTGGGTTTGTGCTGGACATTCCTGAGAGGAGTCAGAGGTGAGTCTTAGTTTTGTTTCTGTTTTATGTTCTGGGAATAGAATGTCTTTTTTTTTTTTTTTAAACGATTTATTTATTTATTTTAGAGAAGAGCGAGTAGGGGTGAGGGGCAGAGGGAGAGAGAGTCTCAAGCAGATTCCACACTAAGTGTGGAGCCTAACTTGGGACTCAATCCCACGATTCCAGGATCACAACCTAAGCTAAAACCAAGAGTCAGATGCCCAACCAATTGTACCACCCAGATACCCCTGGGAACAGAATTTCAAAAGAAAATTCTGAGCAGTAGTTAAATTGGGAAAAAAAAAAAAGAGGTGGAGAGATAGTTCCTGTCTCTTTAACCTTTTGGGGAAAAAAAAAAAAGGTTCTCAATGAATTATGTGCAACTAAGGCATAGGTTCTTGAAACAGGCAGGATACCATAACTGGAGCCTACAGTTTCTTATTTAATTCATTTGGCTAATAACTTTACTCATCCCTTAGGGTTCAGCTATTCCCTGATCCTCAACCATAGAGCCTGATACAAATGTTCACTAGAGGCTTGATGAATGAAGTAGGCATGTCCACTATTAGGGGAAGAAGAGGTGAGCCAAGAATGACAACAGTTGGACCTGTAGAAAAAGCCCAGAGAGTAAGAATTAAAAATTCAGTTTCTCTAAGCATGAATTAGTAAAGCATTCCCTTAGGAGGGGATAAAGAAATAGAGTTCTTGGCTAGGACCAACAATTCCTCCTTTTAACCAGTAATTTTAGAATCTAGAGGAAAAAAATAAATAAATGAATATGAATTCATGAATAGTTGCTAGCGCAGGAAATAACCATGAGAGAGCCATTGTAACCCTTGGGGAAATTATCTCCATCAGCTCTATGTCTGACTTCTCATGCCTAACCCCTAAACTCCCAGTTGGCAGCCAAGACTATTATACAGTTCTGGTTCTTCTATTAGAAGAAAATGTCAAATCAAATAGTGCTGTAATCAAGATTTAATAAAAGTACCCCACTAAGATTAAGAAAATCATTTATTGGGTCCCTGCAATGTGCCTGTAATTGTTTCTTATATTTTCATGAAACTATGATGTTATTCTCCCTATTTAGCAAGTGAGAAAAATACTCAAGGAAATAATTAATCCAAAGTTACACAGCTAATTAGATTCATACATATTTAAAGCCAGGACTTTTTAATCCCAAGTTCAGTATTCAAAGAAGTCCATATGTTATAGCAGTCAGATCAAAAGAAGTGTACATAAATGTCATGCTTGCTCTATCACTTTGTCAGGATTATTTCATTTGGGTCCAAATCCCATACCATTCATTCATTTAAGCCCAGATTCTTATGAGAGATGGGAAATCTAAGGAATGGATAACTATAAACACATTTAGACTTAACATTGACAAAAACAATTTAAATAAAGCCTGATCCTATTTTAAAACTCAGAATGGGCAAATTGACAATCACCCAGATTATACTAGAATATAATTTATATAGCCTTTACCTTGATTTATTTAAAAATTTTTTAAGTTCAGATATACGTTACGTACAATTAAATTGTATAACTAATTTACACAAATATTCCATGGGTTTTGACAAATGCATAACCGTGTGACCTATCATGTTCCAATGGTTCATTGATAGTATATACAAATCCTGCAACCTTGCTAAGTTCACCTATTATATCTACTGGGAATTTTTTTTTTTTTCGGTTTTCTTGGGATTTTCTATATACACAATCATATTGTCTACAAATAAAAACACTTAAGTTTAACATCTTCCTTTCCAATCAATATTCCTTTTGCTTCTTTTTCCTGCCTTATTATATGGACTAGTAATCCAACAGAATGTTGGAGAAGTAGTAAGAGGAGACATCCTTGCCTTATCCCTGATCTTTGGGGAAACATTCAGTCTTTGACCATTAAGTGTAATGTTAGCTGTAGATGTTTCATAGGGGTCCTCTATCAGATTGAGGAAGCTTCCTTCTATTTCTAGTTTATTGAGTGGAGTGCTTTTATGAAGAATAGGTATTGAAATTTGTTAAATATATTTTTGCATCTATTGAGATAATCATAATTTTTCTTCTTTATTCCATTGATGTGATGAATTACATTGATTAATTTCCTAATGTTAAACCAACCTTCATTCTAGAATTAAAAAATTGTACTTGGTTGTGATATGTTACCCTTTTTGTGTATTGACAGATTCCACTTACTAATATTTTGTTAAGGGCTTTCTCATCTGTGTTTACAAAAAATATTGATCTGTAATTTCATTTTCTTATAATGTTCAACTTTACTCATATTTAGAGAAATATAAATTAAAAACTACAGTGAGATACCATTTTTCACCTATCCAAATAGAATTTTGAGGTACAATAAATACACTCCATTAGAGAAGTTTTAAGAAACCAAGTACTCACACATTGCTGGTGGTACTGCAAAATGGTACAAATCTATCAGGAATTTTGCAATATCTAACAAAACTAAGTGTACATTTACCTCTCAACTCAACAATCTCACTTCTAGGAATTTGCCCTGAAGACACACTTCTAACTGTATGAAAATACGATATGTAGGATATTCATTACAGCATTGTTTGTAATTGTAAAATATTAGAAACAACCCAAAAGCCCATACATAGGGCAGTGGCTGAATAGCTGTAGTACATCTACCCAGTGGAATATTAAGCAGCTATAAAAAAATAAAAATTAAAAGTAGGAGCAAAATTACTGAGCTGATTTCCAAAATATATTGTTAAGAAAGCAAAATACAAAAGAGTATGCATAGTAAGTATATGTATCTTTTTGTAAGAAGGGAGAAATTTTTAAATGTACATGATTATCCTCATTTGTCAAAAAAGTTAAGATAAATGGTAAGTTAAGATAAATGGCAAACTAATCAAATTGCTTATGTACAGGGAATGGATGGGAATGGGCTGGAAAGGAGAAAATGTAGGCCAGAGTAATACTAATGGTGGTGTTGGTGGCATAATACTTCCAAGTATACTTCTTTGTATAGTTAAAACTTTTAGGCTTTAGGAACCACATTAATGTTTTATATTCTCAAAAAAGGAAAATAAGTTAACAAGAGAGTTGAAAGATATATCAACAAGGGAGGGCCTAAGATGGAATACAGATACAAATTAACCTGTGTTTTAATAACATAACTGGAGTGAAGGAAGGGGTGTGAGGGAGAACAAGCCCAAGTAACTTTTTTTTCAGTTTTTATTTTTAAATAATTATGGATTCATAGGAGGCTGCAAAACACAAAATAGAGAGGTCCTATGTATCTTTCACTCTGCTTTCCTCCAGTGATTACCTCTTACATAACTATAGTACAATATCACTAACAGGAAATTAACATTGGTACAATCCATAGAACATATACAGATTTCACCCATTTTATATGCACTCATTTGTGTGCAATGCGATCACATGTAGATTCATGTAACTATCAGCACAACCCAGATATACAGAACTGTCCCATCTCCACAAGAATCCCTTTCCTTTTATGGCCACACCATCCATCTTCCCCAATCCCTGGCAACCACTAATCTGTCCGAGTAATTTAAAACATAGTATTTGGACTAAATACTCTCAGGCTAAAGAGAAAACGAACTGTAAATAAATATTGAACTCTAGTTAGTAGATTCTTTTTCATAGAGGTATGAGTTAACAATTCAAAAACTATCTTATATGTATTCTAGGATTAAACAAATAAATGTATTGTGGATAATGAAAGCCAAATTTCTTATGGTCAGAGAAGAGAGTTACACATATGAAAAGGGGAAAGGATAGAAGGAGCCCTGTGGTGCTAGATTGAAATTGGAGGTATCAGAATGAACTTGTGGTTTCTAACAAATATAGATAGATAAGGGAATAGATATAGATGTGTGTGTGTATTCATACATCTTTTTCCTACCTCTACCCACTGAGAGAACATAGAAATAATTATACCTTAGTAGCAATAAGCTCACCTAGTACCCAGACATTTGTTTCTAAATACCAATTTACAGCAAAAGAAACCAGAGTTTCTTGAAGAAGAAGATAATTGCACAGCTAAGGTAGGGAAAAATACAAGATGAACCTGGAACAAACATCTTGTACCAGGAAGTAAGGAAATGTTCAAAGGATGTTCAGAACATGGTAGGTTAAAGATCTACTGACCAAATCTGGGATAATTTAGGCATCAAAATAAATATTGAGAGTAAAAGACTGTAATTATTAAATAAAATAAGAATCTATGATTCTAATACTGACAAGAAGGAAGGAAGAGAAGGGATGTTCTTCCTTACAGTTGAAAGCCAACTAATAAATGTAAAAAGAAACAATGAGTTAGGAAAAAATGCCACTTGACAACCATCATAATAGTTAATTCAGGTATGAATGGATATTAAAATGGTGAAAGTTTGTGGAGTATCAAGGTATTTTCATAATCTCAAGGTATATTGCCATAAGATATTCATTAATTATAATGGGAAAAATAATAACTTTAGAGTGGAGGCATTACCTTAGTCACTAAGTGTTCAGAGTTAGCATTAACAATAAGACAAGTTGGCATCGTATGCCTTTTCATATGATGCACTGAGAAAAACGATATAATTCTTGCAATACTCTTGCCCAAAAATGCATAACCTCAATCTAATTGTGGAGAAATATCAGACAAATCCCAAATGAGAAATAGTCTATGAAAAAAACTGACCTGCACTTTTAAAAAATGTCAATGTCATGAAGGACAAAATGAAGTTGAGGAACTGTCCCAGTTCAAAGTCAAAGGACTTGCAAAAACAGTCAACTGAATGCAATGTGTAATCTGTGATTTTCTTTTGCTATAAATAGCTTTATGAGGACAATGAAAAAAAATCTGATTAAAGTTCTTGGATAATATAATAGCATTGTAATAAAATTAATTTCCTGATTTTGATCATTGTATCTAGTTATCTAAGAGAATGTCCTTGTTTTAGGAATTATACAGTGAAGTATTTAGGGGTAAATGGGCATGATGTCTGCAACTT